CTCCCTGCTCGGACACCTCAGGGCTGCAGAAAGCTGCACAACGCTCCCGTGCCTCCCCCCAGAGCGACCCCCCGCAGCCCCACGCACCGGGGCAGCCACCACCGGGTTTTGCTGTCACTCCTCGCCCAGCCAGAGCCACCAGCTCACCAGTTCCTGCGGATTCGTGAATGCTCCAAGGCAGCTTTCCCCCTCCCCACCCACCCACCATCCAGGAAGTTTATAAAATAGGGTTTGTTTTTGGGTTTTTTTGCTTTTTCTACAAAGATAGTGGTGGGTTTTCCTTTGCAACAGCAGAACAGTCTCCCTGCTAGGTAGAGTTAATTTCAGGGCTGACAGATCCTAAATGCAAATGAGTTTGTCCTAGTTGAGGTAAAATTCAGTAGTTTATAGCAAGTTTTGCAATGCCAGAGGGCCATCAAGATTCCTCATTGCCAGAGTCATCTTCATCACCGTAACAGCTGTCTGCTTCCTCCTCCATCTCATCATCCTCGTAATAGTCATCATAGAGCAGGTCAGAGCCCTCATCTGGGGCTGGAGTCTTGGTCTTCACGCAGTACTCTGCCAGCGTGGTGGGGACCTTCACGCCGTCCCGCTCAGCGTCCACCTTCGTGCCCAGGACTTGCTTCCTGGAGGGCGGGAAGCGGGGCATGAGGACAGAGCTCTGCCCGGCTCGTCCCCGGGGGGACACCCAGCCACGCAGTCCTTTCCTCTCACACCCCAGCTCCGGGTTGTTCGCCCGCACAAGATGGGCGAGAGGACGGTGAGGGAGAGCAGCACAGAGCAAACGTGGCTGCACTGTAACGTGCCCCCTGCTCCGAGGAACCGCTTGCCATGCTGGGGCTGGTCAGCCAGCAGCTCGGGAGCTTCACGCACCGGGCCCATGAGACAGCCCTGACAGCAAGGCCGTGCTGGCACTGTGTCTGCTACGAACCCAGATCCTTGGCTCCAGAGCTGAGCAGGGCCAGGGCTCAGGCTGAGAGCTAAGCTGGGCAGATAACTTCTCCCAAAAGCCACGCTCAGAGCCAGAACCCTCCCCTCCTACCAGCCCGCAGACGGGACTCAGCGGGGCAGGATACGCCCTCGGGATCCTGCCATCTGCTGAGACTTGCAGAGCTGCGACCTTGCAGGACACAGCGCAGGGCCTGGGCCCAGCTCAGCACGCACCTGATGATGTCCGTGTACTCCCGGTCCTTCCCTTTGCTCTCCTTCCACTTGCGGTACATCACGGAGGCATCCACGTTGGCGGGAGAAAACGTGTTGGGTTCATTCAGCAGCGAGATCACGCTCAGGAGAATGGTCCTGCCAAGCAACAAACAGGAGCGGGTAAGAGCCGAGGCGGCAAGCACTGCCCGCGCCCAGC